TTTGGCAGCCGCAGGTAACACTGGCGTCACCAGGGTAATGATGATCCGAAAAGCGGCCTCACAGGCCTTTCATGAAGTTGATTGCCAGCAAGCGGTTCGAACTGCAGCTACTCATGGTCCCAGACCTCATTTTGCCTATAAGACTGGTCAAGCCGTGTACTTTTGGCGAAGAGGCACAGATACAGTCAGAAAGCCAGCCATTTACTTTTGGCATGGCCCGGCCAGAGTAGTTACAACACAATTGTCATCCACGGTCTGGCTCTCCTATAATCACCACTTGGTCAAGGTATCACCAGAGAAGCTACGTCCAACATCTGAGGAGGAGTTTTATTCTATCTCTGGATGGCTTAAAGGAGTCTCAAACGCCAAGAAGCAGTTTGAGACGGATAAGATTAAGGGCATAATTGATCTCTCTCAAGAAAATGATGACCTACCTCCTGCAGAACAACAAGACTCCTGGCGTAGAGAAGGCAATTTTTGGATTCGAGTTCATGAACTTCCACGACGGGAACTATTTCGTCCTGATCATGATTTCTCCAAACTACCAGTTCATCTGGACCAATTACTGCCGTGGAGAAAGACGATCATGGCCATCACTGACGGTGATCAGGAGATTCTCGAAGATGAATGGACTCATGGGCAGGATTTTCCCAGTCATGGACATGAATGGACTGGAGAAACATGGTTCGAGGAGAAGCCTGCCCCTGAACCACGAGGGCGTCTCAAGCGACCAGCAGAGCCGCTGGTACCCAGAGCTCGGATCAACCAGAAGGCCAGGATTGATCCAGAGCAGATGATCCCACTGTCACAGGCCCCCATGGCCAAAACTGAACAACCAGCAGTGGTGATACCCTCACCTGAAATCCCAGAGATTGGGACTTCCTGCTCCTGAACCAGAACAACCAGCCCTTCCTGAACCAGAGGCCTCAGGGTCACCATCTATGACTCCGATGGAAGCTCCGGGCGAAGATTCCACTCCTGATGACCGCAAGCGGGTCTTTGATGAAGTTCTCCAACCAGAGAGCGCTTGGGAAGAGTTGCCAGCTTCCAAGCGCACCAGACTTGAATTGCTGGAGATCTACTTCACTACCATCTCCAACAAATCGGCCACAAGACAAAGAAAAGGAAAGGAAGCAACAACCAGAGACTTTCAAGGCCGAGACCGAGAACGACTCATGCGGGCCATCCAGAAGGAGTTCAACAACAATCTGGCGACAGGTGCATATGAACTCCTTTCTCCACAGGAATCAGCCCGAGTTCGAGCACAGAACCCGGAAAAGATCATGAAGTCCCGCTATGTCCTCACAAAGAAGCCTATTGAAGATTTTGCCCTGGAAGATGCCATCTCAGCTGATGAGGTGCTTGACTCATCTGAACCAGATCAACCTGCGAAGGCGAAGTGTCGCCATGTCATGCAGGGCTACTCAGAGGCGGCACTCCTTGACTTGGAGACGAGCACACCTCAGGTGCATCGAGACTCTGTCATTTTTGCTGCTCAAGTTATGGCCAGCATGCGATGGATTCCTGGTTTTGCAGATTTTACACAAGCATTTCACTCTGGTGATCCAATTGATCGGGAGCTCTATGCGGAACAACCTGCCGAAGGACTCCCCAATGCAGAACGAGGCCAGGTCCTTCGCTTGAAAAAGACATGCTATGGACTCACTGATGGACCCTATGCCCCTGGTTCAAACATATTGTGAATTTTATTTGCAACGAACTGGGATATCGGCAATCGGTAGTTGATCCATGCCTTTTCTTTTTGGATTCACCAGCTGACTCAGATGGACATTCTCAGATTGAGGGCATTATAGCTTTGGCAACTGATGATCTATTTCATGGTGGTACCCATCGTCATGCAATGTTGATGGAAAAGGTCAAACAACATTACAAGTTGGGTAAGTTCACATGGCGTGAAGGACGTTTTGTCGGCAAACAAGTCACTCTTCTTTCAGATGGTTCAATTACTTTGGATCAACAATTTTATACTGAAGCACGGGTTGCACCGATCCAGATCTCCAGAGATCGAAAACGGAAAAGATTCTCTGTATTCACACCTGAAGAGATTGAACAACTTCGTGCTTTGGTTGGAACGCTGTCATGGTTATCAAAAGAGACTCGTTGTGATCTTGCAGGTAAAACTGCTCTGATTCAGCAGTCATTTCCTCGGCCTTTGATACGTGATCTCATCAATGCGAACCAGATTGCGAAGGAAGCGTTGGACTTTAAAGAGCTTGGCATCCGAGTGATGCCCATTCCTCTTGATCGACTTCATGCTGGCGTGGTGACTGATGCATCGTGGGGGAACTCCAAGGAATTTGGATCATATCTTGAGACCAGTGCTACCAACGACTGGTGGGAAGAAACAGACCAATCTTGGATCCGCCACCATGTTGATGCACGAACAACAGGGTTTCATCCAGCAGCCTGCGCTGATGGACCAGATCTTCACCAGCTTCTACCAGATCGCCATACTGAGATTAGAAATTCTCAGAGAAGCACCTCCGTCCAGGACATGTGGACCACTAGCGATAGCATCAGATCTATGTCATCAACACCGTGGACCGGAAGAACGACCTTCTATAAGCAGACCGAGGGCAAACTTCTTGATGCCAAGGACATTCATGCCGGTTACGACCAGCTGAATAAGCTCTTCAGCCAGGGTGGTGAGATTGGGTGAGATTGTCATCTTCTATGACAAGGACCTGCCGAAGTCCCAGACCCTCCAGAATGTCTCCTTGGCGTCCTGGAAAAGCCACAGATTGAAGCGGCGAACTGTTAACACCTTGAGCTCTGAGACACAGGCCTTAGTCCGTGGTCTTAGCTCGGTTCATTGGTATCGAGTTCTCATCCTAGAAGCCCGTGGTCTCCATTTGTCAGCCAGAGAATGGCATCGCGAAGTAGCTCAACTTCCATTCATTTGTGTCACTGACTCGAAGTCATTGTATGATACAATTTGCAAATGCACCAATCCTGCCTCACAATGTGAAGATAAGCGTACTTCGATTGACATCTCATTGATCAAGCAAGAGATTGCTGAGCTCAATGGCACGATCGATGGATTGATGGTCGTACTATGTTGGCTGATAGCCTCACCAAAGAGAGCAAAGCAGATCTTCTACGACATGTCATGAAAACTGGCCAATGGAGCATTTTGGAAGAGGGCTCAGCCCTTCAGAGGAAACTCCTCGAAAGAACATCTCGTCATGAGGTGCTTTTTATTTTCTAAGTTTGATCAACATAAAGTATGACCGGTGCGAATTGGGCATAGGTCATTGATCAAACTTCCTGTCACCATATGGTGGCTCAAGCTGGGGATCGCCGAATGGCACTTGCGCCACAGGTAGAAAATAGGAGTGATCTGCTGAGCCTGCTGCCACTGCATCACGCAGTTAAATACAGGTAGTGTTGTCAGAGTACACAAGTAGTAAATAGGAAGTAAATACAGTAGATACATAGTACATGTATATATGACTATAGGTAGCACGTAAGTACTTTGAAGGAGTATGTGTGCTACGTAGGTCACCTAAAGGGTAATAATGAACCTATTAAATGCGAGGCTGGTAGTCAGAAATACTGCAAAGACCTAGCAAATACGAAGCTGGATCTCAGAAATGCTGCCAATAGCTTGCAAATAGTAGGGAATTGGGGTTGCTACCTGGGGACCCAACCCATGGCGGGGGGGGTGGAGAGACGGAGGACGGGACCATATATATGGGGGAGGGGGCAGGGGGGGGCCCTTTCGGGTGAAAAATTACGTGATGTCCTTGGGGAGGCCTGGAATACTTGCTAAAGCAAGAAGACTCTAGCGAGCTGACGCCAGCTGTTGTGATAATGTCAATAATTGCCAATAATGATAAAATGTAATTAAATAACGATGATGATGATAATGATGAATGATGAATGATGAATGATGATGATGATGATAATGATGATGATGATGACGATGACAATGAGGATGACGATGACGATGACGATGATGATGATGTGGTGGTGGTAGGTGGTGGTGGTGGTGGTGGGGGGAGGGGGGGTCCCCTTACGTTCGACACTTGGAAACCATATATTGCAAGCCAAGAGGCTATACGCCAATACTAATCAAAAGGCAGCAAAGCAAACAATAGACGCAAAATGGAAACAATTAATTCTGCCTGCTTCGGGCCGTAATAGGCTTTCCAGAAAAACATGCCGATGAAGCCGCTGGAACCGCTGACACCGATCAGGCCAATTGAACCGATGAGGCCGCTGGAGCCGCAGAGGCCGATGGAGCCGATGAGGCCGCTGAGGCCGATGGAGCCGATGAGACCTCCTGAGCCGATGAGGCCGATGGAGGCCGATGGAGGCGCTGGAGCCGATGGAGCCGCTGGAGCTGATGAGGCCAATGGAGCCGATGAGGCCAATGGAGCCGATGAGGCCGATGAGGCCAATGGAGCCGATGAGGCCAATGGAGCCGATGAGGCCGATGAGGCCAATGGAGCCGATGAGGCTGATGAGGCCAATGGAGCCGATGAGGCCAATGGAGCCGATGAGGCCGATGAGGCCAATGGAGCCGATGAGGCCAATGGAGCCGATGAGGCCGATGAGGCCAATGGAGCCGATGAGGCCAATGGAGCCGATGAGGCCAATGGAGCCGATGAGGCCGATGAGGCCAATGGAGCCGATGAGGCCGATGAGGCCGATGAGGCCAATGGAGCCGATGAGGCCGATGAGGCCAATGGAGCCGATGAGGCTGATGAGGCCGATGAAACCGATAAGGCCGATGGAAACGCTGGAGCCGCTGGAACCGATGAGACTGATGGAGCCGCTGGAGCCGATGGAGTCGATAAGATCCCTCGAGCCGCTGGATCCGATGAGGCCGATAGAGCCGAGGTGATGAGGTCGATGGAGCCGATGGAGCCGATGAGGCCGATCGGTGAACAGGGCGATGATCAGACAGATGGACCAGGCGCGCCATAATGCAAAGCACCCATGCGGTAAAAGTGACACTGCAATATTACCAGTTGTCAAGCAGCGAGCATCATCTCGCCCTTTTGCCTGGGATTAGCCCCCTGAGCCGTCGGGGCTCGTCGTGAAAGAAACCTATTGTCACTGTGAACGACAGGTGAAATGCAAAATGCATGACTGAACCCAATGATCACTTGATTAATAATTCCCAATAATTGTTGTTGGGTTCAGTCACCTTAAGAATACCACTATCCAACAGAGCTAGTAATGGCTGTGCGTTTCCCTGCCTTTTGATAAGACAGTCCACTACCATCTGAGGATATGGTATCCACTTTACTCTGGTGCCAATTTCTGCTAGCGTTTGTCTGATCACCTGTACTTCCAAACCAGTGCGTTTATCGGCAGTGATCCCCGTAGTTTCTTTAGAAAGGTGATCAAACAGCGACTTGGCGTCTACTACGCATATCCCTTGGACTAGTTCCTCATCGCTAGTATCGCTAGCAAAGGCTCTCAGGCGACGATCTTGAAGAGATTTCTCCCACTGCTTGAGATCAAAGCCAAGCGTCGTCAGCTCATTGAAAACGGTCACCGTCCATGACAGCTCTCCCAAACCTCGGCTCAGGCTTTGAGTTTCTGCAGCTAAAGTGGAGTTTGCGACTCTTTGAATCTTTCCTGATTTCCAATAAAGCAACTTGTATCTGCCCTCTCCTTTCTCCAAAACTTCTACATCGTATGCCACTACCGCATACGCTCCTTGAGACTTCCCTTGACTGGCATTGGCAAAACTTGCATCTGTGATGACTCCGCAGCCCAGCCTCTCGGGCCTGATGGGTTGGATTTGAAGGCACAGATCTGACCGGCTCTTCAGCAGGTCGATGGCTTTGTTCAAGTCGCGAATGTCCTGCACAGACAGTCGAGTCAGGTTGGATGCTACCAGGCTTGCGATTGCTGCTGCATCTGGGCGCCCTTCTTTGGCGGCCCATGTTATACTGCCTACTGCTGCTCTTGTTAAATCTCTCTCTTCTGGTGTCGCAATCTCTCCTCAACAAACTTTTGCATATCCACCAAAAATTCTTTCTTTGAGCCTACCCTGATCCTGCGCCCATTGAAGGATGTGCCTTCTGGTGTCTCATCCACAAAAACAAACTTGCCAAACTCAAATCGTGCTCTCAGCTGCTCCATATGCTTGAAAAACGTGCCAGTTCCTAAAATCATCAAATCTTATCAAATTTCAAGAGTAATGCTCTGTGGGGGGGTACGGTCCTCAAAAATGATGGTACGGTAAAGGGTGCGGTACGTTGGGTACGGTGGTACGGTACGGTGGGTACAGTGGGTACGGTACGGTGGGTACGGTGGGTACGGTACGGTGGACCCACCGTACCCACCGTACCCACCGTACCGTACAAACCGTACCCACCGTACCGTACCCACTGTACCCACTGTACCGTACCCACCGTACCCACCGTACCGTACCCACCGTACCCACCGTACCGTACCCACTGTACCCACCGTACCGTACCCACTGTACCCACTGTACCGTACCCATAGAAAGTGTCATATGTACCTACCCGTGCTGAATCATCAGAAAACATGCTTTTCATTCCTCTTGAAATTAGATAAATCAAATCACCAACTTCCACCACCAAAATTCCTTCAAGCTGCCCACGGTGAAACCACTTGTACACCGTGGGATCCATGACTGATTGAGTGAGCCCAGGGTCAAAAATTGCCCTCTTTAGTGTCTTTCGCCAATGCGCCGGCGCATCTCCCAATCCGTATGCTCCTGCTAAGATCTCCATTAGTTGTTGGCTGTGCAAGCCGGGCAATCCTCCACTGGGCTGTCTACAGAACAGCCTGCCTGATGGCCTGACCAAACGATCACTTTGCATGAAGGCGTTTTTCAAATCTCCAATGGCTGTTCTCCATCCAAAAGATGCGGCTATTTGGAGGACGATAGAGAGAGTTGCGGTGGTCACTGTTGGTGCATGCCGCGTCAAGTCTAGCAAGTCTGGGTCTCGATCTCCTCTCACACACCATCGAGATTTTCTGCTGGGAGGTTGGCCGGGCTGGTCGGCTGGTTTCCATCTGCGCACCATTCTTGATGGCAGGATGCGAGGCTGCAGTCCCGCTTCATGAAGTTGCCGGGACACCTCCTCCGATTCCTCAACGCTCATAGTGCGCACTGCACCCGTAGCCTCCACCTTGCTCCACTCAGCCCCATCGGCAACTCGCCACTTCTCCCATTCCTCCTCTGACAAAATGTCTTTGTCAAGGACTTCATCTGAGCCCCTCTTTACCATCAGGTTTACTTCTGTGATCACTTTCCGTAGGCTAAATTCTGTGTAGCCCGTCCACCACCTGAGAGCACCCGCCTCCTTCTTGCCAAGACCTGCTCTCCAATCGGAGTTCTCCATCCTCCTGCTTCCATCTCCATACACTTTGTAGGTCTTTCGCTGTGACGTCAACAGCCCTACAGGTATGGGACACCCTCTGCTATGGCTTGGCGTAAACTTGGCCCTTCTGGCGTGCTGGTGCAGCCTGATCACCTTCATTCTTTCCTCATCATAGATCCAGACGTCCTCCTCCATGGCTGCTTGCCCTTCATCATCATGTGCCACCAAGGTGTCTTTTTCTTCTTCTTCCTCAATTGTGACTCCTCCTCGATAGGGAATCCATCGTGCATCCCTTCTGCCCTCCCACACTCTTCTGGTGGGTTCATATAGGCCTCTTTGACCATCTTTTGGTCTTCGAGTGCCGTCCAACTGCTCGTTGGCTTGAACTGATCTTATGGCCTGTGCCAGTTCAGGATCCACAGGGCCTATCGGCATGCCATCACTTCCTTCTCCTTCAGGTTCACTGGTGGAGGACGATGGGGATGATGAGGAGCTAGAGGATGAGTCCTCTGGTACAGCGATGTCTTGGGGTGCTGATGCTGGTGCTGCTTCTGGCTCTGCTGCTTCAATCCTGGGACGCTGCTGCGGTGGTTCCACTGCTGGTGGATCGTCCTCCATGGGTGGTGTTCCCCAGGATGATATGTCTTGGAAGCTTCTCTTACTGCGCCCTCTGCGCAGGTGTTCTTTGAGTTCGATGAACTCCTGTTTGAGCATGTCTGCTGCTCCCTCGCACACTTCCAGAGCTCTCCTCGCATGCTGATCCAAACATTTGCTCCCTCAATCATCAGCACTGTTCCAGGACCGACCCATTGCGGTCGATTGGCTGCTGCTCCATCTCCCCTTCTCCTTAGTGGAACTCGATATACGTACACCACATTTCCAACCTCAAAACTTCTGCTCACTCGAGGCCTTGCTAAAGCTGATCGCTGAACAACTTCTGTGGCTGTTTGCTTCAAAAAGGCTTCCATTGCAGACTGTCTGATCTGTAGAGATCTCCTCATATCTTCGCTGCTGGAATGAACCAGCAGTTGAGGATCACATGGATCATCGGACCCCAGACTGCCGGGAAGTCGGAGATTGCACCCCAGCTGACGTTGTGCTGGGCTGAAGCCACTTCGGTTGTAAAGCCTGTTCTTTGCTGCCTCCACTGCATAGACGCAGGTCTTCCATTCATCCTTGCTGCTTGGAAGAACCTCCTCCATCACCTTCATCAACGTCTCTTTGGCCAAGCCTCCATGACGCTCAGTCCTCCCCTGCTGCCAGGGTGAGCGTGCACCAATCACCTTCACCAAACAGCCACTCTCTGCCAGCTTCTTGGAAAAGGATCCTACAAACTCTCGACCCTGGTCCATCACTGCTAGCTGAGGGATTCCAAAATTGCGTACCCAGCATTGGTGGAATTTCATCCACACATGTTCTGAGGACATGCTGTCCAGTGGCTCCAGGCTTTGATATCCAGTGCCCCAGTCGGTGATGTTAAGCACCAGAACATTCTGATGTGGTTCTAGAGCAGGAAAGAAGACTACGTCCACCCCCACAGTGTGTCCAGCCTCAAAAGTTCTGGGAACGGTGCCTGGTCGAGCAACCTTGGTTTTTGCTGTGAGTCGCAAATTCCACAGCGAAACTCATTCTTGACATACTTCCACACCTCTGGTCTTGCTCTTGCCATCCGCAGGGCCCTGCAGAATTCATACTTTCCTGGATGTCCCAGGTTGTTGTGCAGTTTCTGCACCAGCTTCTTGTCTTCGCAGTTCATTCCGCCTTCAATGACATCTTCTTCTGCTTCTCCTGGCGCGTCTTCCTCTGCTTCTCTTGGAGGGCCAAGACGCACAGCAGGGGCTCCTGCCGCCTCCACTTCTTCATCCAGCGCATCTTCCAGCTCCTTCTCCTCCTCCTCAATTCTCGCCTTCGGTGGCCCACACCTGTCTCCATGCCGCTGAATCCTCCTCAGCTCCTGTGATCATTGCCTTGCAGAGTGCTCTAGGATAATGCTGTGCTTTGAGTGCTAATCCTCCCATCAGCGCCTCATGTACATGCTGTCCTGAGCATCTCTTGCTCAGGTGTTTTGCTAGGCCCTTCCCGTTCACCAGAAAGTGTGTAGGCTTTTTGTTGAAGTCTTTCTTGACTCTCAAGCCGTAGGCGCATTGATCGGCGCGTACGCGCTCTACGCCCCTCATCTGCGCTGACTTCTCCACGCATGGCTCTTTCCATCCCTTGGATGTTGCTGGATGCTCAAAGATTGCCAATCTTCCACGGTTCACCTGCCATTGGAAGAGCTTCATGGCGAACTCCAAGTGGGAAACGCCTTCTGCCAGCATGATAATTGCTCTGCGCTGTCCCATCTTGGAGTAGTTGAGCTCTTGTATGATGGAAAAAGGGCCACATGGAGGTGACACCAGAAGGACGTCTGGGTCCATGCGCACAAGCTCTTCAAAGCAGCATCTTCGGTCTGCTTGGGTGGTGAAGTCAAAACCGTTGTTAATGTCGTATGCTCCTGCAGATTCATGCCCCATCTCCTGAGCCATCTTCGTGACCCTAGGCATTGAGTATGCTTCTGCCACCACCATTTTGCGCATGCTTCTTTCCACTGCCCTTCTGGATGATCTCGATAGGCTGCGAGATGCTTCTTCGTATCCATCATCAGCCAGCCACTCCCCTTCAGTGGCAAAGACTCCAAGTGCCTTATATCCTGGCACATAGTTGGGCAAAATGCCCTCTTGTGAAACCCACTGTCCTCCTCCAGTGGAAAACCAAAATTGTTGTGAAACTCTCCTTTCATATGCATATGCCTCCTCATCCCTGATCTGCATTGATTGCCACATCCTCCACTGCGCCTCATTCTCCACCATGCAGGCCCAGGGGGCTTCCTTATGTGCTTCCACCTCCTCATCGCTCAGCATCGATCCCAGGAACCAACACCGCTCTCCATATCCTGGTCTGGTGCTTCTGCTGCTTGTTGAATGTTCTCCATGTTCCTCCTCAGTGCTTGTGCTTGTTTGTTGACCTCCTCCTGCAATGCCGGATTGCTCATCAGCTCCTGAATCCTCTCCTCTCCTGCTGCGGCTGTCATCCACACCAGGTTGCTGTGCAAGTGTTCCATCTGCAGCCTGCATTCCTCCATCCGCTGAGCATCGGCCTCCCTGTGCAAGCGCTCGTTCTCCAACATGCGCTCCTGGATTTGGTGCTCCATCTCCTGCTTGAGCTGTGCCTCTCGTCGATATGCCTTCTCCATCTCCTCCTGCCTTAGCATCTCCTGTGTTTCCTCGGGATCCCAAAGGAAGAAGTCGCACAGAGACCGGTGACACCGGTAAAAGTGTCGTCCCTGGTTGGGTCCCTCCTTCTTCACCCTCAGCCGATTGGCCTCCACCTCGCACTTGCACTTGATCATCCGGGGTGCTGTGGTGAGTGTGCTCCTGGGGCTGGTGACCCCGAGACTGGATGCCGTACTTGCTGGCATTCGTGGGGGAGTTGCTGCGGGGCTCCTCAGGGTGCTTGCCGTGGGGCTCCTCAGGGTGCTTGCCGTGGGGCTCCTCAGTGCTGTTTTGGGGAGGGGAGCTGTTGCTGCTGTGGACTTGCCAGAGAAGAGAACCTTTCCTCCCACAGTGACCGTGGGATTGCCCTTCATGAGGTCCGTCATGGCATTGGGATCCACCAGCCATCTCATGTGACATTGCTTGCACCACACTTCCCGCTGGCTCTGATTGCCTGACCCCTGCAACATGCTTGCTGGGTGAGGACACATGTCGGGAGTTGCCGCGGGTGCTTCTTTGCTCTTCCTCACGCCCAATGCTTCTCCATGGCGAATCATCTCCTGGAACACCTCCGCCTTGAACTTCTTCTCCTTGGAGACAGGCTCGTGCTGTGATGAGGGGCCCAAGCCTGGCCCCAGTGACGTACATGGCACTGCAGAGCCAAAGAATGACCCACCTTCTTGCCATGACTCGAGCCTTGCTTGAGCTTCGACAAACACCAGCAGATCGTAGATCTTCTGCAGGACAACCCTCCAATTCCTCCATGCTCTTCGAGGATTTCTCTCCAAACCACCACCAGCAGTCGCAGGAGCCTCCTGCTGACTGACACGGCGCATGCCATGGCCCGCACGACAAAGGTGATGTGATTGAGGGGCGCCCTGCACTCCACTGCTGTAGTGCACTTCAGCAATCATGGCTGTTGGATCGCAAAGAAAATCGGCAGTCTTTCGATGTGCACATGCTGAATCATCAGGAAGACCCCAGCCATTTGAATCAAAATTGAGAACATCAACTGCAACATGGCCAGAGCGGAGATGATGAAGTGGCGTTTTGACTCCAAATTTGTTCAAACCAAGTTCTCCATGACACAAATCAACCACTGCATCAATCGCTTTCAAAAACTTGATGGAGAGCAGCAAGGGGACTTCCTCTGCTACTACCGTTGCTTCGATCAAACCATTGATGCCCCCAACCCCAACGGGAATCTCTGCCACCCCGCATGCTTGAGCGCTGCCCCCAATTCCCCTAGCATGAGCAACTTTGTTGGTGTGCAAAACTTTGAGTCCAACTCGGTTGAGTGCAGCTTCAAGTCTTTCAAGTGATGACCTACCAATCAGACCACCTTGTGCTGCTGTGTCCACCACACCATGCTCTGAGCTGGCGGTGATACCATGAAAATTGGCAGCACTACTGTTGGGGGAACGCAAAACTTGTCGATGGAAAAAGTTCCCTAGAGTCAATGGCTGTCTCGAATCAAAACTCTCAAACAAGTGCACTGCTCTACCCTTCTCCTCACTGACACCCATCTCGCAGAAGCCTGTTTTGCCGCTCATGGACTCTTGTCGCTGTCTCGCTCTGGCATCAGGCTCATTGGGGCATTCTTTGGCCCAATGGCCAATGATACCGCACTTCGCACATCTGGTTCTGAGCTTCAGCATGTCTATGTGCACCTTTGCACCATGGCCCTGGCCACCTCCCTTGAACTGGATGCGACCACTGCCCATGGAGAAGCTCAGCTTGCCGCCCTTGCCACTGCCAGATCCTTTTCCACGGTCACCAGAAGATCGGGAATCGTAGTATCCCCTGCTCGTCCTCTGGTCCTTGATGGCCTTCCGCACTCGCTGATAGGAAGCAAGAGCTTCCTGGACTTCTTCTTCATCCAGAATCTCTTCAAGATCCCGCTCACCAACGTAGACATAGTCTTCTGAATCTTCGTCTTGCTCCTCAAACTCTGCATAGCTCTCTTCCTCGGTGACAAAGTTGCGACTGCCACCTTTCTCCTTCTGAACCTTCTCAAGTTTCCTGATCGCCTTGACTATGTCCTCTCTGTCAAACTTTCCCTGAGTCCATGTAGTGACCTGATCTTCCTGCACCTGAGACAAAGCTGCATGCCTGAAGATCACGTAGCCCTTGACCTGATCTTCCAACTTGATGCCCTCCGAGGCCAACTCGCGAAAGCCGGCGTCCATCCTGATGAGGTACTCGCCCAAGCTTTCCTTGGACTTGCGACCTTCAGCATACACGGCTTTCTCTAACGCCCTTGGTATGGCAGTCTCAAGGTGAGGTTGAAAGTAAACTTTCAGGGCTGCCACTATTTTGTCAATCCCTTGTTCACTGGTGATTTCAGCTATGCTCAATTCATCGATCACTGCCTTTGCCGACCCAGTGAGTTGTCTGAGTACTTTGGCTCCCTGTTTGTTTCGAGGGACATCCGTTTCATGTCTCCAAAGTTCTAACTCTCTGAGATACACTTTGAACCCGTCCTCCTTGCCATCAAACGCAGGAGGTGGATCCCGGTCGCGGTATCCCTCATGAGTGCCACCACTGCCCACTGACGTCGTGGCCGCCACGTCTCCACCAGACATGGCGCGGACAAAACCCTAGGCACCTGTGTCGTACAGCTGCCGCTACCACTGTCAAGCAGCGAGCATCATCTCGCCCTTTTGCCTGGGATTAGCCCCCTGAGCCGTCGGGGCTCGTCGTGAAAGAAACCTGTTGCCACTGTGAACGACAGGTGAAGTGCAAAATGCATGACTGAACCCAATGATCACTTGATTGACACCAGTACAAAGAGAGTTGCAGGTTACAGCTACATGTATCGAGATACCTTAACCCATTCCACCCTACCTACATGCACAACAAGTGGTGCTGCAAAATCCAACGCCAACTGTCAATGGCACGGGGGGGTCCCCCCCTTTTACGTAAAAAAATCACATGATGTCCTTGGGGAGCCCCGGAATACTTGCTAAAGCAAGAAGACTCTAGCTAGCTGACGCTAGCTTTCGTAACATAATTCCTGCAGAGACCACGCAACTTCGAGGTCTATTAGGATCACTTCAGTGGCCATCAATGCAGTCCCAACCACATTGCTCTACATTTCTTCTGGCTAGACAACTTTCTGCCGGACTTATGAAGTCCGTACAAGATACCAACCGCCTTTTAAAGTTCGCCAAGCTCAACTCCGATGTTTCTTTGTGCTACGAGCGCCTATATGGCCTTGAAGACCTACGTCTGGTGACTATGGTTGATGCTGCATTTAGCATCAGACGAGATGGCTTATCTCAAGGAGGATACCTCATAATGCTAATTCCCAAAACTACGTTTGATGGAGTTGAAGGACCTTACCATGTGATTGACTGGTGTTCATCCAAACTGCCCAGGGTGGCCAGATCCAATCTTGGAGCAGAAGCCCAATCAGCCAGTCAAGTGTGCGACAACATGGACTTTGTCTGTCGTTACTACCAGCACCTCCTGGAGCCCAACGAGCCATTAGCGAACATCTTGCACAAACCAAGCCCTTTGGAGTCTACGCTCATCACGGATGTCAAGGCGCTGTATGACAGCTATCACCGTGAAAGCCTCAGCAGTGGTCTCACTGACAAAAGGACAGGGCTGGAGATCAAGGTTCTTCGAGAAAGACTTGAAGCACTTGGCGGCAAGCTCAAATGGATTTCGAGCGAACGGCAGTACGCCGACTCCTTCACCAAGGAGGCAACCAGACAGCTCCTTGCTGATCGCTTGAGGTATGGACGCATCAAGCCGTCCTGGGATCCCAACTACATCGCCGCCAAGAAGAAGAAGCTTGCAGACAGAATTGCAATCAGAGATGAGTTTTCCAAACCTCTGGAGACTGTCCCAGAAGAGACCGAGCTCAATGATGCGACTCCCATCGAAACCTATGCTGAACATCATGAACGAATCATCTATGAGGCCATCGACTATGACGAGATCTTGGAAGATCACGACATGGCTGTTACAGCCCCAGCAGAGCTGCGTCGTGACCATGACGTGAACATCAACGACCTTGTGCCGACCATGGACACGCTGGTTGACCTTGTCCCCTACAACCTGGTGCTGCGGTACAACCTCTGGGCGATTTCATCTCAACCGAGACGTGCCCCTACGTAGACGTCATTCCCGAAGAGAAGTCCTACTTCTGGGACTATGTCTGGGACACAGTGGTGATCCTAGCATTGCTGATCTTCGTGGCTGGCACCTACCTCATGGGTTGGATGCATGGATGGTGGATTGGCCACAACCATGTATTGAGATTGAGGCATATCCGAAGTGATCGCCTTGAAGCTCGCCTTGAAGCTCGCCTTGAGGAGAAGACCATCGAAAATCTGGCATTGAAGGACGAAGTGGAGCAGCTTGTGAGGCAAGTTCAACTACCTGGTGGACCAATTGTGGCCGACCGTGAGGTCAAGCGCTTGCAACAGCAGCTTCGATGTTTAGAATACAGCTTCTGGCAGAAAGATCAACAGTGTGCGTACATGCACAGGACCAAGATGGGCTACACACGCCAGATAGGAAGACTCAGTGCACTCTTCCACAAGGCCAAGGAAGTGGTTGGACGTGCACGTGCAGAAGCCCACAACCATGCGCATAATCGATGCACAGTTGGAAGGCCAATATATCATGCTCCACGTGGACGTGTCTGGCACCTGGATGATCAGTGCCAGCAGCTCTACAGGAGCCAAGTGATAGAACTGTATGCGTGTGACAACTGCGCGTCGTTCTACGTGACGCCCTACATCCACGACATCAGCCAAAGAACTTTGGCCCAGGACATGGATGCCTTCATGGGAAATGATATCAGTGATGAAGACCCCGAGGTCTTAGCTGAAGCGTCAGCGATCTTGGATGAGGAGGCACGACTACGTGCAGCTGGTTCCTTGAGCAGCGCTGGCGTGTGACGTCATTTTCCAGTGCCAAAGAAGCACTCTTTTCCCCTGTGTGAAGTTTGCAGCTGCAATCTGTAGACTTGAGACTTTTCATATCCCCCGCTGCTGTTTTACAACTCAACAGTGGTGGGCAGCTAAAGCCAAACACCTGGCAACGCCTTGCGGCAATTCTTGGAAAAGGGCAGCGCTTTAGGCGCATCTTCCGTTGGGTTGGACTTCGTGGGCCACACCCCGAACTTGACCCCGAATTTTTGAGTTATGTGCAGCTTCAAGCTCTGTAATCCCTTCCGAATATTCGTTTTGCGGCTCCTACATGGAAACTAAGCCAATGACATGTTCTTACTCTTTTTCGCGACTTATTTCATTTCTGAAGTTTCGAAGCCTGCCAGCTATCAACTTCTTGTTGAGGCTGAAGGTTGACCCGTCGAGGCTGCATTCTATGCTGCCAAGTTGGCGGCGGGTTGCAAATTCATGCGTTTGGATCAAACATAATTTTTTGCTGCACCAAAAAAAAATCACATGAGTTTTAAGTAGCAAACCTCAGTATACAAGTAATATATTCCATCTTTGGACAATAGATGAAGGCCACCCAATGTGGGTCAAACCGCCATGACAGATGACCAAACACACGAGGTGAAACAAGCAACGACGCCTGGGAACCAGAACGCGGTCAAAAAAATTGTCTTGCAGAAGGTGAATAAAATTTGACCCGATAGGAGCTGATTCATTGATCAGAGCTGGTGTTGACCAAAGCACTGCCACGCTTTCACACATGAATTGCTGACGCAAACATACACACACCACTCCGACATTGTAGGTCTATGTGTGCGTGGAAATGCCGGTGCCCTTCAGAATATCACATCGAAACATACAGCTCGCCCATCTCACCTGTTTCATTTGCTCCCTCTTTTGCATGCGCATTTAGGCCCAAGTGACGACCTCAACGGCATGATCACGACACAAAGTAGGTCATCTATCACAAAGCGCGCGGAAAGTCAGAGGCACACACGTGAGCACCATATACAAGTTTCTATCTATCCATCAAAAAATATACCTAAATATAAATATAAGTAAATGACTATTGTTCGGAACCCCACGAAAACTCATGTGTGGTTGTTTGGGGGTGCGATGTATGCTAACTTTGATTAAAAAATGACAAATGTTGACCGCAAAGCAGAAACTTGCAGTCGACCCTTGATAATTTGACATCACCCCTTGATGCCGTCTGACTCGGGCAAAACCCACAAATCACACACCACACGCACACACACACAGACATTCAACACGCAAAGACTTTGGGGAGTAAATGGCCTCGTTGGACGCAGGCACATTTATAATCCCTACTGCCATTCTCCCACTGTGCAGCCAAGGAAGCCAAGTGATGCATTGCACCGCAAAGATTGAACGCCTACGGCCACGAATAGAAAAAAAATTGGCAGGACACGACCTGCTCAACAACTGATACTCAAACTGGAAGCTTGCCAAGGATGTTCCACTCCTTGATGCAGGCAAAATGTGTTTTTAGATGCAGATCAACGACAGCGAGACATGAATCGATTTACAAGAACACAACGTCAGAGCTTTGTTCTTTTAAACCTGTCTTTATATTTAATACATTTTGACGACAGGGCTCTGACTGTGAATTCACACGTGAATGCGGAATCCTTTGTTGAAACCCTATTTGCCGAGCACCGCTAACATAGAGGCCGGTTTCATAAACTCATGAAAGCAGCAGATGTCCCACTGTATTGATGAGGGGTTTTGGAACGCACTTTGGTTGCAAACTGGTCAAAAACTGACTGCCTCCGAATGTAATTTCTGCCCTGCGCTTGGACTCCCAAGTTTGGAAAATATAGTTGGCCACCCGCCTGATTCGAGCGAAACCTCTCCGTGTGTTTTATCCCTGCATCCCTGCCCAGCCTTTTTCAAGCCTGTCCATCTTATGTTTGATGCTGTTTTGCTCTTTGATGACTTTCCTTGGTGCACATGACGAAGAAAGGCACCAAATCAATTTGTTACGGTCGAAGGCCATGCAGTCCACGTCGCGGGGACAATGATGTAAGGAAAAAGATAAAACACGTTAAAACACCCTTCCACACGCTCCTTGCACAGCCAAGACGCATAAGGTCCAAACTTTTTGCCGTACCTGTTGCAGCTGGAATGCAGGACGCCAATTTAATATACGTAAAACGGAAGCAACAAACATAGCCCCACAAGGCAAAACTCCGAGCTAACAATACATCCTTGGGTGGCCGATGTTCCAGCTTTCCAAGTTTTTGCAGTCATCGCAGTAATACTCTGTAGAACTCTGTAGAACTCTGTTGACTTTTCGGCGCTGAACGTTTTTCTGTGATAGGCTGTTGAAGATGGTGCGCATCGATACACCTGTCAGCCATTGTAAGGCTGGTGGTTTGTTTTTTTGGCTAAGTGTGAGGTATAACGTTGGTGTGCAAGAAAATGCAGAATTGGAGATGCAGGGGTGGCAGTGAGAACTTGCGCGGCATTTTTTGAAATCGCAGCTCCCCCACACCTTGGCACGATACTGTCACAATCACATCAAATGACCAACAACGACCATCACATCATACTGGTCATTGATTGGACTGGCAAGATTTGCATTGGTTGAACTGGTTGGATTGCCTGGTTCTTTTCGGTGATGAGATCTGATGAGTAATGCCGGCAACTGACGAATAACACAACCTCAACATAGACGTCATCCAAAAAAGTTTCCTCTTGAGAACCTAACATGTAGCCAGTTAAGGCTGTCTAAGATATTGAAATGTATAGATGGGTGTGGCTATGTGGGGATGGCGATGGATTTCGTTTTTCAGTTTGAACTGATTTTGTATGATTTGACTTTCCTTGGCTTTATTTGATTGAAGCTGAACCGGCTTGCTTCAGTTGGAATTCAACTGAAATCCAACTCGCCTCTAAATTGGCGTCGGCACCCGCATCACTTAGGGCAACACCAAACGCATCACTTCAGGCAACATCCAGAAATCACACACTCCTCACACTTTGGACGCTCACTTTGGGCAACACGGATTTCATCACTTTGGGCAACACGGCAAACATCGTTCTTATCATCATTACTTGACTCAGCCATTTAGGTTTTGGTTCGGGGGGGAGGGGTCATTCTACTTACACCACTACTTGACTCAGCCATTTAGGGTTTGGTTCGGGGGGGGTCATTCTACTTACATCATTACCTGACTCAGCCATTTAGGGTTTGTTTGGGGTGGAGGGGTCATTCTACTTACATCATTGCTTGATTGAGCCATTTAGGGTTTGGTTGGGGGGGGGAGGGGTCATTCTACTTACATCATTACTTTCCTCAGCCATTTAGGGTTTGTTTGGGGGGGAGAGGTCATTCTACTTACATCATTACTTGACTCAGCCATTTAGGGTTTGTTTGGGGGGGGGGTCATTCTACTTACTTACATCATTACTTGACTCAGCCATTTAGGGTTTGGTTGGGGGGGAGGGGTCATTCTACTTACATCATTGCTTGATTGAGCCATTTAGGTT